GCTTAAACAAGCTGAGCTCGCGCTGTTCATGAACAACTCAGTTCATTGGCAGCTCTATCCTCACACCCATCATCTCTCTCTCCTCTTCTTCATTACTATCCTCACCCCTTCTCATCATCATTGCATCCATTCTCGCTAGTGCCCATTGCCACCGCCTCTACTTCTTCCTTCAGCTCTGTTGTCGCCGAAGAAGTCCATCTACGAAGTTAATATACCCTCCCAAATCGACTACCCTCTCAAATCAACGAATTTACTGCCATCAATCAACCAAGATCAGACCTTCATGCACGGTTTTTTGCGCGACAATTCAATCACGCCCAGGTTCGCCTTTACTACCTTGCATTGCTGCCATTCTTCGCCGCTAGCGCGTGCGTTGTGTTATTAGATTCTCATTTGGACTTTTCGGATCAAAATCGTCCAAATCGTGACGATCACCGATAGAGAGGATCAAATCCATCCAGATCATGATATATTCAAGGTAAAACCCTAGATCTAAAGTTTGATATAAGGTTTTGGTGATAATATCCCTCAAACAAGGATGTAATTAGGTATGTATATATGTATGTATGTATGCATGTGTGTGCGGTGAAATCAACAAAACTTGTAACATACATATATATATATATATGTTGTATCCATGTATATATTCAGGTTTTTTTTTTAAACAAAAAAACACATAGCATTTTCATTCTCTCTTTCTCTCTCTTATTATATTATTTTTTTGTAGTTGTTGGTTGTTGATGGTTGATTATCATTGTGATGAATAAACAGATCTATAATGGATAAGATTCCTAACAGATTTGTTTAAGAGTAGAATTGTTCAAATCTTTAAACTATATGTTGAAAAATTTATTCAAGAGTGGACTTGTTTAACAGATTATAAAAATGATTCTAATTTTAACAAATAGGTTAACCTATTTGTTTAAACCTATTTGTTAACGGATTTGTTTAAACCTATTTGTTAAAAATTGTAGGATTTGTTTGTATGATTTTTTAGAGTTAGATTTAAAATCAAAAAAATATAGATAAATAATACATTTATTTTTTTTCAATTCAAAAAATATATTCAAGTTGAAAAACTCTTTTTTCAACGAAATATTAAACTCTTTTTCAATTAAAAACACAAACAGAATATCTAAACAAATGAAAATAACAAAGTCTTACAAATTACTAGGGGTGCTCGTGTTTGGTGGTTCAGTTGCGGCCAAAAGAACCTCAAATCCGTCATCCGTCCAAAACTAGGCAGATTGAAAAAATCAATCCACACTGGTCATCAACGCATCCTTCCAAAATGCGGTGGATCGATTCGGTTCGGTCGGTTTAGACGGATTAGTATATCTGTGAACCCAATTTACACTCCTCAAATCAAGTGAACTGAAAAGAAATCATCAATCTCAATCTTCATTACTTCAGATTGGGTTTAGTTGAAGGATTTAATCAGAAAAATAAAAAGGGAAAACGAAATATAATCTTACTTTTTCTTTGATTATAATAAAAAATACAGAGAAAAAAGAAAGTGAGGTAGAAATGTAATCCCACTTTTTTTATATTTTGGGTTCACTTATGCTGTGTTTTGGTTGAGAGATTTAGGAACAGATTTGGAAAGAAAAAAGGAAAAAGGTGTATGAAACTGTGGACTTGCCTTTTTCCGCGCCCCGCCTTCGTGGAAAGGGTTAAAAAGAAGGCCTACAGTTGGGACTCCCGCAGTTCTGAATCTAGTCTCACAAGTGCAATGTGAAACTGATAAACACCAAAAGTCTAAATCCTCAAATCTTTTTGGAAAATCAATTTTAAATCAAATAATGCCAAAATTGAACTGCTTTGCCAGATACAAAGTTCCACCTAAATATTTGTTTTGTAAAAAATTTAGGAAACCCTGACTCGTGCCAAAGGCCACGCGTCGTCATCACCAAAGTTGCCTCAGCGCAGGAACTTGGGTACGAAGGGGGAAGGTCATGAATTGAGCACCCCGCTCGCCCGATCAAAGATCGGTCTTTGCTAACCATGATTATGAAATTTTATAAACATTATGTTGTTCTTGTTCCGATTATTACACAACATTTACTATGTAACGCACACAAAGCAAGTATAGACTAGTCCACAAACTTGAAACAATCGAACTCATGTTTGTTTTCAAATAATGGTTTGAATTTGTCACCTCAAGTGGGCTTAAAAGATGCGGATTTGCCACCTCAAGTGGACTTAAAACATGATTTCCCACAACAAAGTGGGCTTAAAACATACATTTATTGAATCGCTCCAATTCAAAACAACACTACAAGAAATACTGGGTATATGAGACGGAACTATTTGCGACGGCAACTTACCGTCTCAAAAAGCCACTTTTTGTGACGGCAGAAAATGCCGTCTCAAAAAAGCAGAGTATTGCGACGCACCATTTGCCGTCTCAAAAAAGCAGAGCATTGCGACGGCACTATTTGCATCTCAAAAATGGGAGTATTTGCGAAGATTATCCATGCGTCAAATACTCTTTTTTTGGACGGCAAATAGTGCCGTCGCAAATGCTCTGCTTTTTTGAGACGGCAAATGGTGCCGTCGCAAATACTCTGCTTTTTTGAGACGGCATTTTCTGCCGTCACAAAAAGTGGCTTTCGTGTTTTTTTTTTAGTGAATATTTTTAAAAATTTTAAATATTTTTTTTAGATGTACTTACTTAGATGTATCTAAAAATAAAAAAATTATGAAAAATATTTTTTAAAAATTAATAAATACATAAAAATACCAAAAAAAAATGTATTGAATTATGAATATTTTTTTTGTATTTTTGGTATTTAGTGAATTTTTAAAAGATTTTGGTGATTTATGGTTTTGAAGATAGCTTCATATATATACAGTCACAAAATGGTTTTGAATAAATTCAACGGTATTTTTCTGTCGAAAAAAAATTAAAAAAAACAATGTCGTCTAACTCTTTTGATATAACATTCTCTTTTATTCCATTTTTCATCTTTATGTCTCTCTGTCTCTTATCTTCTCTCTCTCTTCTTATCTCTTTTCATTCATTTCTTTCTATCTCTATCTCTCTCTCTTTCTATGTCTGCCTGTTTCTCTCTCTCCTCATTTTCTCTCTGTGTCTCTCGCCTATCTCTCTTCTCTCTATCTCTCTCATCTGTTTTCTCTCTCTGTCTCTCTCGCTCATCTCTCTTATCTCTATCTCTCTCATTTCTTTTTTTCTCTCTCTATTTCTCTCTCTCTTATCTTTCTATCTCTCTCTATCTCTCAAGCTCATTTCTCTTCTCTTTCTGTCCTCTCCTCTTTTCTGTGTCTCTCTCTTCGCCATCTCTTTTTCGCTCTAATTCTCTTTTTTTGTCTATCTCTCGCTCATCCTTGTTCTCTCTCTCTTTTCTATCTTTCATCTCTCTCTTTCTTTCTCTCTCTATCTCTTTTTCTGTCTATCTCTTCTCCCTGTCTCTCTCTCACTCATCACTCTTCTCTCTCTCTGTGTCTATTTGTCTATTTGTCTATTTCTCTCCCTCACTATGTTCGCCTTGCTTACTCTCTTACTCCTATCTTCTCTATTTATCCGAGCTCTTCTCGATTTATCGATCCATTATAAGAAATACACTTTTAGCAACCACTTTTGTCTATCTCTCTCTCTCTGCTCATCAACTCTAATCTCTGTGTCTCTTTCTCTCTATCTCTCTTCTTTATCTCTCTCTCACAAAATTAAAATATTTTTTAAAATATATTAATATTTAAAATATTTAAAAAATTTGATTTGAATTAAGTTTTGAACAGAGTTTGAATTATCTGTCTTCGTTATTTATTGAGCTCCCTATCGATTTTATCAATCCACTACAAGAAAATGCACTTTAGCGATCACTTTTGTCTCTTTCCTCGTCATCACTCGTCTCTCTATCTCTTTTCTCTATTCGTCTCTCACTCATCTTTCTCTCTCACTACCCATCTTCTCTACCACATTTACCATTACTTGCAAATGCCATTCAACTACCACCACTCTTCTCTTTCTCTCTTTCACTCATCACTCTTATTTCTCTGTCTGTTTGTCTATCCATCTGTTTGTCTGTTTGTCTGTGTGTCTTTCGTTCAATCTTCTTCTCTCTATCTCTCTCATTTGTCTTCTCTCTATGTCTCCCTCGCTCATCTATCTTCTCTCTATTCTCTCTCATCTCTTTTCTCTCTCTGTCTCTCTCACTCAGCTCTCTTCTCTCTATCTCTCTATTTTTCTATTCTCTTTATCGTTCATTACTTTTTCGCTCTCTTTCTATGTGTCTCTCTCATTCTTTGTTTATCTCTATTTTTCTATATGTCTCTCTCTATCTATTTCTCTCTCTGTTCTCTCTATATCTTTTCTCTTCTTTATCTCTCTCTCGCTCTTCACTCTGTCTTTCTCTCTCCTCTATCTGTCTCTCACTCTTTCTTCTCCACCACCCATCCCTTTGCCACATTCACCACTACTGCAAACACCATTCCACCACCATTACTTCATACTGTAAGCACTTCACCTCTACCACTACCATTAACTACTACTATCGCCCACCACTTCATACCTACCACTACTACTACTACTAACATTACCTCTCTTTCACCCCTGCCACTCCATTTACACTACACTACCACAACTTCACCACTAATCTCTTTCGCAATCACATCAACCACCAACCACCACCACCATCATCTCTTATCCACCACCTTCACTACTGTTGCTGCTCCTTTTTTTCTACCACAAAAAAATTTAGTTCATAATTTTTAGTAATAAAAAAAAATAGGCCGCAGAAAAATATTTTTCATTGACTACAAAAATTAACTTTTATTTTAGTGAAATATTTTTATTAAAAATATATATGAAACAAATCAACCTTAAACGGAAAGAAAATACA